GAACTGTCTTAGGAGATAACACTTATTTGGCATTGTTTTGGTTAAGTATAGAGTTTCTAATTTTGTCCACAATGCATCAGCAGTAGTAGTTTCACCTACTTTTCTTATTACACTATCAGATAGGTGCAGAAAAATGGTGCTCCAGGCAATCTCAGTTAGTTCTAGTCTCCTATAGGCACTGATCTCAGCAGCCCAGGTGCCATCAAGTGCACCAGCACATCTCTGTTGCACCAACAGAGCTCTCATTTTCTAGCGCCAGAGACTAAAGTCTCCAGTGCCATTCTAAATTTCAACATCAAATTTTTGAGCAGAAGACATATTGACAGATTATTTACAAAACTATAACAATGCAGCACACAGAATATTATTACTACAAGTTTTGAATACAATGATCAATAACTAATAACAGGATTAATATGCACTTATTTAACAGCCCAAGGAGTGGTAATCCTGGTTTCCACTACCCCCTCAGATTCCCAGATCCTCCCAGGAGATCTTGGACAAAGGTGAGTAGAGACAGATTACTTACATTAATGACTGGGTCCAAGAAATTATTTAATATATATTGACTAACGAAAAATAAATTTTTGGGTTTAGAGGTTACCACAGTCTGAAATATTAATTTTCAGAATAAGAGATTAATCAGTAAGTAGCAAGAAATTGAACCAGAACTCCGAGTCAGACACAAGAACCCTCCGAGTTGCAGTGACTCAGTATGAACTCAGTGAAACTCGGGTTGAGTCAACTCAGCTCACTCAACTCAGTATGAGCAGCACTGATTTTCCAAGAACAGAGTACATAAACAACAGATCAGCGAGTTAGCGTCGAGTTATATCATATATATCAAGATTATTCAAAGATTAACAAAGCAGTAACTAGATCTTGCAAGATCTTCAAGAATATTTCAGATCTGACCAGTCAGTTACCAGTCGAAAAGTGAATCAAGTACGACAGAAAAAATTCCAGAGAGTTTTCTTTACAAATGTATGAGAACACTTCAGATCTTGCAAGTTCAGAATGAGAAAATTTTTTACAAAACACAAATTTTTTTAAAAAACTACTCTGATACCACTTGTTGGTCCCAGAGTTGATATAATCTTGAAGTTTAATGATTTATTCTCGAATAAAAAATTATTTCAGAAATAATATAGCGTAAACAAAAGTAAGAACACAAGATATATTTTGCTCCAAAATGGAGCCCGGATGTTCAGTCTAAGGACCTAATCACCCATTGAGCCTCAATCAAGAGATATGCTCGAGTTTCCACTAATTTCACAAAGAATCAGTACAGGATGCTCGAAGAAATCAGGGATTTCTTCATCTTTTTCTAGCCTCTACTTCACACAGATTTCCTTTCAACAATATCACACAAATCACTCAACTTTACAATCCTTACATAAAGGACTTTCAAAATCACACAGATTTCATATTACATTTTCAGAGAAAGGAGAGAGACGAAGGAACTCCCACACAGAGAGAAAGACTGAAGGTTCTAGAGAAAATCAGAAAGCGTATGCCAAAAGCCAGACGACCAAGAGTCAAGTAAGTATCAAACAGTTGGACCGACCTTATCTAACGGTTGGGGGCGTGCCACGTGTACGGCACACACCCAACCATAGGAGGCAGATAAATCGTGAAACCAAAAACGCGATAAATGTTAAGTTTGGGCTCCCCCCTTTTGTTTAATTCAATAAGGGGCCCAAAGTAGGAAATAGTGAGGCAGCCCAACTCTTTTAACAATTACTACACCATATTATAATCACACTACAATTAAAATATATTTTTAATGAATACACCACAATAAATTTACAATTATACTCCTAATTCAATTAAAATAAAAAATTGAAAAAACATAATATAATATTATGGTGTACTTTTTTTTTTTTTTTTTTTTTTAAAAACACAAAAAGTATGCATGTAGTTTAATTCATGAGAAAATTGATTCAAAGGCACGAGGATAAAAAAGTTTATTGATGTCACAATTCTTAACAAAATTGCAGTAACAAATAAAAAAATATGGCCCTGTGCACCAGGCCATAAGGAAACGCCATTTTTTTTTTTCATTTATTATTTCTACCAGACATCAAAGACACCATAATTTTCTTCTTCAATGATGTGTTTTGGCTTCAGCTTTCTTACGAGACTTGGCCTTAGCCTTAAGAATCTTATGCTTCATGTTTCCGTAAACAGAGTCCGAATGAAAAGGCGAACACCCGAGCCACCAAAGCGAGGGTGCTGGTGCCAGAGTTGCATGTCTTACGTAATAAATGCACACTATTCATAAAATTATGATGAGTATATGCACATAAATTCATAAACTCACTTAACAATTAAAAATCACAATCTTATATGTTTTAAATTCATAATAAATCTGTTTCACTTAACAAAAAAAAAAAAATTTAGATTATTAACTTTCAAACTTGACAAATAAATTGAAAAAATTCATCCATAAATCGTGGTCAAATAGAGTATAAATACATTTACCGTGAGGAAAAGAAAATTATCTTGTCGTCATGAAAGAAGGCAAAAGCCACCGGAAAAACTATGAGCAATGAGATGTTGAGGAGAAAGAAGGAAATTTGGTTTTATATTTGAGGTGTAACAATAATTTATTTAATTAAAAAGTATATTAAAACCTATGTAATTTTTCTTAAGGATATTTTAGTAAATAAGAAAAATGTGATTTACTTAATAAAATTTACAGTGGTATTATAATTACCCATCAATAAATTGTGTAATATGTCTCCACTCCCACACGAAAAAAAACCTATTAGGCTTTAGGATATTGACTAGCGAATTGTTTGACGATACTTACCTTAGGAAACACAGCTTTATTGATTAAAGTAGGGACGGATCTAAGATTGGATCCACGACCGGGCTACGAAATTTCAAATCGGGCTACTACATGGAAAAAAAAAAATTTATACATAAAAAACTGATTTTTTAACCAAAAAAAAAAAAACACCTTAAAAAAAAAAAAAAAAAAAAAAAACAAATATATTGGTTCTGAGGTAAGTGATCCATAGTTTTTAGGAAACAATAAAAATATTAACCATTTTTCTTTGAAGTAGATTTTATCTATGTTACTTTTATAGGACCAAGGGTCTAACTCCTTTGTTTTGGGGAATATCCCGTCTCGAACATCAAGCAAACAAAGTCACACATGTATTAGATACGGAGGATACACCTCACCCCACCCCACCCCACCCCACCCACCTACCTACGCTATCCTTAGAAATTCAAATGAGTGGGATAAGTTAATTGCGTGATTTATGATCTATTAATTGATTTGAGACTTATTATGTAATTGTGATTTATAAATTGTACGGTATGTAACTTGTGTGATTTGTGACTTTGTGTGACTATAATCAACAAATTGTGTAATATGTCTCTACGATCCATTTAATTTCAATTATAGTTCACACCATTCATCGAATTTACAAATGTGACCAGCTAATTTTTTATATATTTTTTATATATATATATTTTTTGCCTATACAAATTTGCTGATTTTGAAATTGTATTGTTAGAAATGTATTTTTCCCTTTATACAAACACATTCCTATACAAACTATCATAAACTCAGTGTTATAGCATTTCTCAAAAAAATTAACATTCTAATAAACTTCCATTACATGGTTTGAAAACTACCACCTAATCCAGATTTCTTCACAAATCCCGTTGATTCAACTCCCTCTCTAACGCCCACATACCATGTAGCACACCATTAGTGTTACATTTATTTGAATTTGGTAAGCCATCATGACGAATAATACAATGCACTATGATGATTCGGATTTCATGGCCTATGTAACAAATCGTGCAACGCAGCTTCTGTGTTGCATTCATTGGTCTCCAGTTTCTACAACCACCACATATCTCGCTGGTCCAATACCATAAATCTCACTACTACGACAAACACTAATCAAACGCGGAGAGGTCCACACAAAACCCAAATCTCATTCGACCCTCTGTCAATTCACACCACTTCAACCGCGTCAAAATCTCGCAGAACCTTCACCACTATCATCGCCGTCAACCACCATCATTGCTCAAAGCACCCACATACATAAATGACAAGAAATCCTACCGTCAATAATAACCACAGCACCCATTGCTCCAAAATCCATCGAAATTATGTGATTCATTTAATTATATATTTCATTTAATGATACTTAATGTCCCTAAACCGATGATGTAAGAACAGTGGTGCTAAATTAACTCAACAGAATGTTCTATAACATTGGTCTGGGTGACTCCCACGCCTAGCCGTTNGATGATGTAAGAACAGTGGTGCTAAATTAACTCAACAGAATGTTCTATAACATTGGTCTGGGTGACTCCCACGCCTAGCCGTTCACTAATAATTACATTTCCAAAGCTTGAGACTTTCTGTATTGAAATTGTTAAAACTCAAGACTAGTAGATCCAGCTTACTCCATTTATCTTTTAAACACAATTGAGGACACAACATAACATACCTGAGACTACTTACTATCGAAGCACAAACTACATGCTCACATGCTCTTTCTTAAAAGTGCGTCGGGTCACTTGTTTGAGAGAGAGTAACACTGCTGTATCCGTACTTTAGTCGATATCATATTAGAATAATCGTATAGAATCCAAGCGTGTCATAGGGTTATAAGAACACTTAAAAAAAATAAAAATAAAAATAAAAATAAAATAAAAACAACCTATGTAAGTTATATACAATTGTACTATTATAGAAATAATCACACAAAGTCAAGAAACCATTGGAAAGAAGGAAAACGAAAAAAAATAAGCAATGCTACCGTAAAAACGAGGTGCTAAAAGTGTCAAGGATTCTAAAACGGTTACACAAACTGACAATTGATCCCATTTAATGTCATTCGTATCAAACATCCAGAAACCTTTGAACCAAGAAGATCAATTCCATTAAAGACTGGGACATCGCTACAGATATCCAAGTTATGGCGCGTTGACGCAACATTTGATGTGGGAGCAGTACAAGAAGGAAATTGGACATAAAATGTTCTTGCACGCTTTCATTACCAGGAGAAGATTTACATGCACAAAACTCATATTACAGATGTAAGCACAATGCAGTATCCATCTGATTTGCATGAACTATGATGTTGTTTTAAACACTCTCTGGGGGTAAAGTTAAATTAAAATCTGGACATGTTATATCTACAAGTAAAATTTCTTGCTAGCAGCTGGAAAAAACCATCACCAATCAAGTTAAGAGTACAAAAATACACGAGGATTATAACGGCAATTCACCGCTGTCAGAAATGATTACTTGGCTTTTGGGTATTCCATCTTGTCTGCCTTGGGCTTCAATTTTGTACACAACATCCATTCCTGAAAGCACTTCGCCAAAGACAACGTGATGACCGTCCAACCTTAAGAACATAAATAGATTTCATGAACAGAATTCTGGATGAATGAGTTCAAGAGGCTTACATGTGCTCAAAAGAAATGGATGAGAAATCATTCGATATATGTGTAAAGTAACAAATGAAATGAAAGGCGTAAGGGATGATTATTCAAGTTGATAGCAACAAGGCAGTTGACATTCACTTGTAAAATTTATTGTTCAACATTGTGATCTCATTCATGATCCATTGATTATAAGGATCATTTTTGAGTAACCCAATATTTGCATTATTGAAACTCCATAACTACTATGCTGAGTTTTCTGCACAAATTGAGAGGTCGAATAAATAGTTAGTTACCAGCTCGTTTTTACTACTGTGATGAAGAATTGAGATCCATTGGTATCTGGTCCAGAATTTGCCATCGAGAGAAATCCTGCAGCCAAACAAATATGTATTTGGATATCACATAAAACTAGTTTGCAATGCTTGAACTTCTGTTAAGATTTGGTAACTACTAGTGCAAAATGGTGCATCAGTTAATCAGAAAATAATTCATTCCCATAAAGAGAGAGCACTTACCAGGACCAGTGTGCTTTAGTTTGAAGTTCTCGTCAGCAAAACTACCACCAAAAATTGATTCACCACCTCTTCCATCTCCACGCGTAAAGTCACCTCCCTGGATCATAAAGCTTGGAATGATCCTGTGGAATGTGCTCCCTTTATAGTGAAGAGGCTTCCCACTTGTTCCAGCTCCTTTTTCCCCTGAGATAAGTAAAATTACTACACATTAGCGCAGGAAATGTGAAAGTCAAAATTCCTCCATGACAATTATTAGGAAAGGGGTCAAAGATTATATCAGAATCTCTTTGTGGCATCCTAGATATATAATGTGCTTAAGAATCTTAACTTGGCTATACGTTATGTCCGAAGCAGAAATAAAAATAATAAAAGAGAGCAAGCATTGGATACCTGTGCAAAGAGCCCGAAAATTTTCTGCAGCATGAAACATATAGTAAGCTAAAACTCATTTTGTGAGATCAAGTATGATGGATACTAGATGATTGAGAAATTTTATGTGTGAATGTTTCACTTCAATAGAGTACCTGCTGTCTTTGGTACTGTTTCCCCGTATAGGCCCATGACAATACGCCCTAAAAAAGTCACACATTGTTTGGATATATTTTATTCAAGATGAAGTCAAAAGAAATCACAAATATTTGATCCATCCTTACACACAAACCAGCAAGTTACTAAAAACGAACATTTGCCCACTTGATATCAGAAATCAGGGAAATGATATGGATCCTGTGTTTCAACAGTGCTAATGTGCTATGGACAAGAGTAACTTTCGACTACATGCTATTCTTGAAGCACAAATACCATTTATCATTAGACATTAACTCAGGTATGTCAAGTAAATAGAATATGTTGGAGAACACATTATTATCTTAAATGTGACTATAAATGCGTGATCTGTATGTTTATAAGTCAGCTAAACATTAGTAATGCCATGGAGCCTAAAGAGGATTGTTTTCCATTCCTAATAGTCACCATATCGCGATGAAGATCTAANCAGCTAAACATTAGTAATGCCATGGAGCCTAAAGAGGATTGTTTTCCATTCCTAATAGTCACCATATCGCGATGAAGATCTAATAGCAAGGATATAACAGACTATAATTCAATTTCTCTGCGGTGAGCAAAACAATTTAAGACATGCCTACTTACAAAAGCCTTAGGTGAGTTAATTTATATCCTATTTGTGCAAATCAATTCCAATTCCAACTCCAACTCCAACGCACCCTAGCATAGATCCGAGGCTCAGGTACCAAAACCACTTCCAGTGCTCGGATACCCTCTGTCCAACCAATGTCTATGCTATTAGTCAATGATATGCACCGAAATGCACAAACCTCATCATCAATTGACATTGTTTCACAAAAGAGAGCCAAGATCAACCATGAAACTGAAATACTCAAAACATGTGTACATAAATTGTATGTCATGCAACTTACCAATGGGTTTTCCATCAATTTCAATGTCAAAGTAAACTTTGTGAGTCACTTCTGTATCCTTCGAGGGAATCACCTACATCAGTTAATTAGATCAGAAAACGACTAGATGGGAAACAAAAAATTATAGATCAAAATAACTTTTCAAAAATTCAAACCTCGTGGTTGAGCCTGCTATCTGAAATCAATTTTTTGTCAGACGAAAATCCTGCATCCGTTAACCGATTCTGAAATCCAGACGCAATTAATATTCCGACAATAAACCCCACTAATTACGCATGAAAAACTTGACAAATATTTTACCAGAATGAAAACAAGAATTCCAAATAGAACCGCAACCCAGAGAAGCACCACCAGAATCAATCTGCTTCTGTTGGTCATCTCAAAGGCGGAGCAAATTTTCCGTACTTTAGGGCTTTTGACTTTTTGTTGTTTTGATCTGCAAAAATTTGCCCACTTATAATTTTGTAGAAAGACAAGTGTATTAATTAAAACTTAAAAATGTCATTAGTTTTTTAAAAACCACTTCTATGATATGCACAAACAATTTCATTTATGAAAAATGTGCAGAAGACTTCCACTTGACACTAATAACATTTGTTGAGTTGTTAATCTTTAAAATTAGTAAAACAATTTATTATTTGGAGAAATAATATTATTTTGTACGAAAATAATAGGAGGTTGGTATTCGCTTTGAAGGGTTAATTATTTGAGCCCCGTTTGTCCCTATTAATTTTCATTCCATTAAATTTTATTTTTCTCTCTCCTATTTTCAACTTCACAATCTTTCAAAAAATAATATTACACGTAAATCAAAAACTTTTCCTTCTTTTTCAACAGCTCATTTTTCAAAAAAAATACTATTCCACCCATTTTCATTTCTAAAACATGGGGGTCAAATGGAGGCTGAATGTCATTGAACTTTGTGTAACATTTTCTCTAGGTGATTGAACTTTAAAAATTATTTTATTAATCATTAAACTTTGTAATATGTAATCCCATTCATCACTCATTCAATGAACTTTTAACGAAATCGCCTATGTGACAAGCTATTCCAATTGGTGGACGCTAAACTTTAGAATTGCAACTGATGCGAACGCAAAATGTTAAAATGCATTTTGAAAAAATATTTTTGTATGCACACAAAAAAAAGGGGGCTTACACAAAAGTCAGATTATTAGAGTATCTCCAAAAAAACTCTCTATTTAAAAAGAGCATATTTAAATTCAAAGAGTAATTTTTTTATACACTCCACCAAGCTCCTTATTTTGATTCTTTATTTTGTTTTTTCTGATGAACATTTAATAATTTTTTCACATATTTTATTGAATATAATCTTTTATATATTAATGACCAATTAATACAAATGTAATTTGAAAAATCTAAATTATAGAGTATTGAAAATTGTAATGTATTAAATACGGTTATTGTACATTAACAATAGAGAATGAGTCTGACTCTCTAAATTTTGAGAGTCAAACACACTCTCTACTTTAAAAAGTTAAAATATAGAGTCTTTTAAAACTCATTTTTAAGTATTGACTCTTTAAAATCGAAAATATTTTATATTTAAAGAGTCTTTTTGAGATACTCTTAACCCAAACACCAGAAAATGAGAGAATCCCCAAATCAATTTAACCATTTCTCCCAATATTTAGCTTATTTTGTTTATTTTGTCATGCTAGCTAATTCTACCATAACCATACCCTATTAAATTAACCAATCTATTGAGATGGATCATGGAAGTAGACCTTACAATTTATTCTTTGTAATTGCTTATAAGTAAAAAAGACTACTCATAAGGGGGAAAAAAATACTTATAACTAAAAAAATTACTTTTTATTTTAAAAACCACTTATATGTAAAAAAATTAACTTAACCAAAGCAGTTTACTTACAAGTAACAAAATTCACGTATAACTTGAAAAAATTACCATAAGTAAAAATCTACTTGTAAGTAAAAAAAGCACTACATATAACTAAAAATTTCGCTCATAAGTAAAATAATTACTTTTGACTAGAATATTTAAAAAAATCTACTTACAACTTTCACTTATAAGTAAAGCCTTCACTTGTGTCAGTTAAAAATGTTCAACCTTATGTTAAAAAAATTCTTACAAGTGCCAAGTGATTTACTTAATTGAGTTAAGAAAGTATAAATAAAAACATTGTCACGGTTTTCTTTTATTTTCATTAGTTCCATGTCATTGTGACATGGATAAAGATATTTATACAAAATTTTATTGACAAAATGATGGACTCACTCTTGTAAAATTAGCGAACCCTATGTGAATTTAAAAAATGTCGACTTGTGATCCCCATCCTCATCGTGAGTAATGAATAATGGAGTTTGTAAAAAAAGTTTATACATATAACATGATCCAAGTGACATTAAGTAGAACGATAACACTAAATTCACCTTATACAAACCCCCTAATTCTATCCTTTCAAATCCTAAACCTCTTAATCTTGCCATAACAAAGATTCCCTTAAAGTGGTTTCCAAGCACAGTTTTTTGCCAAGTTTCATTAGTCAAACCAAGATATATGAAACAAAAAATGGAATAAAATTCAGCAACCCAATTTCAGTGAATTCATTTTTAACCCTTGGAAGCAACCATAATTAACTGTCAATCACGGCTTGCACCCTCTCCGCACAGTTAACCAACCTTTGCTTATTTAATCCGATGAATGAATCGCAGTCGAACTTGTGAAGAATCAACCAATATTGCAGAATGGCAGAAGACTCGAAAGTTAGCTCTGCTCCAGGAAGAGAAGGGAGCGAGACACAGTTGAAGACGCAAATAGCACACCAAACCACCTCTAAAAACACTTAGGCCGTAGTTGAATTGCCGTTTTCGACCCATTTTTCGTTTTCCGTTTTCGAAAAAGCATTTGGTCCGTCGTTTTCGAAAACGAGTTAAAATTTATAACTAAAAACGCAAAACGACTTTTTAGCGTTTTCAGTTATAAATGTCGAAAACGTTCAAAATGCGGAAAACGGACCGTTTTCGAGGAAAACTAAAACTCGTTTTGAAAATAAAAATGAAACCAACCGCACCCTTAACACTTAAAAATTAAACACTAGCCTACTAGCACAGAGCCAGAGTTTAATGGGATCCATAATTCTCACACTCCAATTTCATCATACAACAAATAAAACCACTAGTGATTTTTTTTTTTTTTCTAAGTACTAATCTACTATAAGCCCAGAACCAAATTCCACGATTTACAAGTCTCAAAGAAAAGATGAATATCTTAACGAGTAAAAGCATAAAACACCATACAAACATAAATCAAAAGCCCAGATGGTACCAAAATCACCAGTGGCACCACAGCCCCGTAGCTACGCCTACTTCCACATCCCAACATCCCAAGCTTGATCTGCACCACATTCACCAAAGCTAGCATCAAAAACACCGACCCGCAAACCGAACCCAAAGCCGAAACCAAGTACCCCACCCGGAGGGCGGTCTGGTTCACATGGGCCAGGTCTATGGTCCAGATGGTCCGGTCCCAATGGACCGACCTGGACAACCGGATGGCCTGCTTCAGCCCCAATGCGATGAGACTGGAGAAGAGGAAGCAGCCGAAGGAGTATACGTGGAAGGTCACCAGATCCTTCGCCACTTTTGACCCGGGTAAGCAATTCGCCTGGCGGCCCGGATCGATCAAGCTGTTATTCGGGTCGGTTGGGTTCCATGTGAGGCCGATGAAGACTGCTAATGTGAAAAGGGAGTTGACGTTAATTATTCCGTCCAGTGCCGTTATGTGGATGCTGGTGGCGAGTTTTGGGACTGGAGTTTCGGACATCTTCTGATTGCGGATTCGGGTTTAGTCGGAGAATCCGATACGTTTGTTTAGCGTTTGAAATCTGGGGTTTCTGGAATTAAAGTTTCGATTGCCTTTTAGGACAGTGAGATTCCCTTTGTCGGTCCGCCAGGGTGCTCAGCACGCATTTCGATGGGTTCAACCTGTGATTGGGTTACACTTTTAAGTTTAAAATAGATTGTACGGGACCAGCAAATCAAGCCCACATTTGCACCGGCCCAGATGGCCAAGAAAAATTCGGGTTGCCCTTTGGAAGAAATCCAGAAAACTCATCTTGTGAGTTTTATATTGAAAAAATATAACCACCCTCCTCATGGACTATGTGTGTTATGTAAGTTCTCTAGGAAACTGTTATCTATACATGTAGTGCAGTCGAATTTCTAAACCTTGCAGGAAATATGAAGTGGAAATTATAGAGTACTTGGGCTTTAAACATCACAATTCAAAAATCAGGGCCAAAGTTTCATTATTCATAAATCAAGTATTAATTTAATAGTATAAATATTAAATATTTAACCCAAATTCAATTTCAACCCTAATTCCTTTTTCTCTCTACCATTTATATTCTCTCCTTTCTCTCTACCATAAAACACCAACGTCGCCACCGATAGCGACGATTCACGATGGTGACGGTGATTTACAATGGCGGCAAAGCTCTGAAGCAACCTTATCGACAACTTTGTGTTTCTCTCTGTGATGTAATGTAGAGGCATGTGGGTGTTGTTTTCTCTTTGTTGTGTAAAGTGGAGGCAGTGTTACGACGGTATGGTGTGGTGTGCTACGCGTTTGGCCTTCCTCTGCCATCTTTTCCTTTTCCTTAATCTTTCTCTCACAGTCTCACTTTCTCTGCCTATTTTTTGAGTATGGATTAAAGGGTTTTTGTCTCCAAGATTTTCTCAAAACTATCGAAACAAAAGGAAGGCACAGAGATAAAGAGAGATCTTAAAGTATCTTCAGAGCTAGTTTTTCATTTTCACCATTGAAAAGGGCAACATCAAGTAGGGTATAGTGTACTTATAGTGGTACAGATGGCAAGCAAGTGCCATTGTTGCCTATTGCCTAGTATATTCTTGTATTCCTTTGTTGGGAAAGTAATGTTGATTTTTTAATTTAGTGCATAGAAGTGATTAGGAAACTTGTGTAGTGGTGTGATGCAGTCAGTCGTTATGTTTTCGTGATCGTTTTTCTTGTTGTTGGCTGTGGTTGTGTTGTGGCGGGGCAACATGTAATAGTGACTATGACCAATTATTCGGTTGCTTTGTGAGCCGGTATTAGTTGTGAATTGGGATTGTTGGTGAAGTTTTTGGTGTATGATAAGTGTGTCTTTACACACGTATTTAGCTCATAAACATGACTTAAACATGGACAAAGTAGTTGAATTGTGACTTAATCTCGTTAAATTCATGCAATGTAGGTGTTTCTATGGAAAAGATGAAATTCAGAAGAAAAGAGCCGAAAAAGGACCAAAACGGAACAAAGCGATAGTTCGGGTACCAAAGTTGCAAGTATTGGAAAGTTGAGCTAAAGTGCAGAACTAGAATGAAAATATACCAAGTATGAGATTGAGGACGATACAAGATGATCGGAGGAAGAAAGAAGTAACATTGGACTGAATTGAAGAAAAGTGAAAGATGAAAGACTAAATTGCAATTAATCAAAAGATGAGCCGAGCAAGTGATCAAGGAATTGATTGACCCAAACATCAATTAGGAGTCAATATTTGATAATGGAACAAAGGAAAGAAAGAAAAGAGATCAAGAAACGAAAAAATGGAGTTCAGGGACCAAGATAGCAAGGTTGTAAAGTTACAACCTTGCGGCCGCATGTAACTATACCATGCGTACGCACATGAGGAGGCAGGGATTTTGTTGAGTAGAAAATTTGAACCATGCGGCCGCTTGGCTTTAACATTCGAACAAAAATCTGAACTTTCGTTTTTAATTGAAATTCTTTCGGGGCTCCGTGAGGACATGATATAAAAGCCAAAATTTATCAGAAATAGGGCAGAATGTCCAGGGAGAAGAAAAATACAACTTTTGGAGACAAGGAACACGAATTTGAAGCCGATTTCACAAGAATTCAAGCGGGTTTTCAAGGTTTTATTCAAGATTTCAAGAATTTTCATACGGGTGCTATTCTTTCTATTTATTAATTTCATTTTTTCTGTAATTATGAATATTCTAGGCTAGGTTTTCAATTACTAGGTGATCGATGAACCGTTGTTTGTTATTTTAATTCCATATTTCATGAGTTTAAGATAAAGACTCGTTTGGATAATTTGATTGGTTTACATGCATTAATTTTCTTCCGCAATTAGTGGCCAATGATTGTGTGAGTGTTGATGACTTATTTCTTACATTCGAGAGAGGTGGAATAGGTTCGATAAGGTGTAAATTAACATAGGGTCCGATAGGGGATAGAGATATACCCCTATGTTTTATGCAATTCTTTAATTGTTCACAAAACCACATGCATTCTTGTATATTTGCGTCATCCATAGAGATATAGGCTGGTGATGTGCAAGAATAGGTCTAATATATATCGAGAGAATATATTGGATAGAATTAGAAACATTGAATTGGCAAATTTCCATCGGGTCATTAATTTTATGAAATTAGGGTTTTTATAACTTCAATTGGGGATTCGTGATCCTAGTGACTTTAGTTTGATTCATTTCCATAAATTAGCTTTTGAATCATTTACTTGAGTGTTTGAGTCGTTTAATTAGAGAAATTTCGAAATTAGGGTTTTCAATAGAAATTAGGGCTTTTAGTAAAATTAGGGTTCTTAATTGAAATTAAGGCTTTCTGCATTTAGACCATATTTTCACTCAATTAGATTCGGCTAAGGCTAGATTATATAGAATTGAACTACTCAATCTTTGAGGGACGATATTCGGACTTATTGAAATCCACTTTATTACTTGTTACGAACCGTACACTTGCGGTAGTTTTAAATCGAAAGAACTATTTCGTGAACAAGTTTTTGGCGCCATTGCCGGGGATTGAGTATTCGTTTAATTTTATTCAATTTAGCACTAATTCGAATTTTTTACTTTTAATTTATTTTAGTTCATTTTATTTTATTGCTAGTTAGTTTTATTACATAAGTGCATATTTTACTTACTTTAGTCTTTAAATTGAATTCTATTGCAGAAGTGCATGTCAAGATCTGTTGAAGGAGATCTACTCCCATCACCCAGAGATCAAACGAAGCTTTAGAAGAAGGCAGAGAGAAAACAGAGCAGCGAGAAATCAGATGGAGAACGTACAACACAATCCTGTTGTACAAGCCAATGAAAGAGGAGAAGAAGACGAAGGAAACATGCTCATTGGAGAGTTCATGACCCTTCAAATCATTCAAAGCCAGTCCAGCATTGTGTATCCACCGTTCGGGCAGCCAAATTTTCAATTGAAGACAAATGTGATACAACTGTTCCAAAACGGACATCAGTTTTATGGAAGAATTGAAGAGAATTCGCACACGTACGTCTCGCACTTCTTAGAGATGTGCCAGCACTTCAGATATCAAGGAATCTCTGATGACGCCATAAGATTAAGACTGTTTCCACATACTCTGCGGGACAAGGCGATTGAATGGCTTGATTCTCAGCCGATAGCCAGCATTACTACCTGGAATGACCTAGCTCAGAAGTTCTGTACTAAGTTCTTCCCACCGGCCAAGATTGCAAAGTTAAAGCACGACATATCTATCTTCAGGCAAGGTGAATCTGAAAATTTTGATGAGGCTTGGAACAGATTCAAAAATCTACTAAGGAAGAGTCCGCACCACCGGATTAGCAAGGGACTTCAGGTCCAATATTTCTATGCAGGGCAACTTCCAACTTTCAAGAGTATGGTCGACTCTTCAGCTAATGGGTCATTGTCCACAAAAACAATTGATGAAGCATTGAAGTTATATGAGATAATGGCTACAACCTCAGCAATGTGGACCATGGAATGAGCAGTACCAAAGAAAACACCAGGAGTTTATGAAGTGGATGTATATTCAGCGTTATTCGCTAAGATTGATTCCTTATTTCACAAGGTGGAAAACATTACCCAGTCAGCTAACGCAGCGCAGACAAAGAAGGCAAATTGTGAGGAATGTGGAGCTGAGCATGTGACAGTAGAATGTCCAATTTTGACACAAGGAAAAGAGCAAGCAGATTTTGTTCAATGGGGACAACGCCAGCAGAATAACGCATATGGAGAGACCTTCAACCCAAGCTGGAAAAAGCACCCCGACTTTTCTTGGAGCAACCAAAATCAGAATAGGCCACAGGGGCAATATCAACAGCAAGAGAAGAAGCCTCAATTGGAAGAAATGTTCGGCAAATTCATGGAACAGACTAACCAATATATGGAGGCGAACAACCAATTCATGAAGAAGACAGAAGTCACTCTTCAGGACCAGAATGCAGCCATTAAGAATTTGAAAACTCAGATGGGACAGATGGTAGTTGCATTAACAGGTAGAGCACCAGACAGCCTGCCAAGTAACACAGAAGTCAATCCGAAAGAGCATGCAAAGGCTATAACAACGAGAAGTGGAGTGGAATTACCTGAGAGACAAGTGAATAATCCCGTGGCAAACAGAGAAGAGATGTCTCTAAAGTAGAAGAGATTTTGGAGCAAGAAGAACAGACAGAAGAGCCAATGCCGAGAACAAATAAAGAAAACTCAAGGGATAAAGAAACTGTAGCTGTGAACCCCTATGAGCCACCCATGCCGTTCCCACAGAGGTTGAAGAAGCAAAAGATAGAACAGCAATACAAGAAGTTTCTCGAAGTCTTCAAGAAGCTCCATATCAACATCCCATTCGCTGAAGCACTGGTCCAAATGCCTAGCTATGCAAAATTCCTGAAAGACATCCTATCAAACAAAAGGAAGCTAGGAGATCACGAGATAGTTATGCTAACAGAGGAGTGCAGTGCTAGGATTCAGAGAAAGCTCCCGCCAAAATTGAAAGATCCAGGGAGTTTCACTGTCCCTTGTACGATTGGTGAATTTTATTTTGATAAAGTTTTATGTGATCTTGCTGCAAGTATTAACTTAATGCCATTGTCTGTTTTCAGGAAATTAGGATTGGGAGAAGCTAAAGCTACCACGGTGACCTTACAGCTGGCTGACAGATCATTGACACATCCACGAGGAATAATTGAAGACGTGTTGGTTAAAGTGGAGAAGTTCATATTCCCAGCAGACTTTCTGATTCTGGATATGGAAGAAGATAAAGATGTTCCTTTAATACTGGCAGACCATTCTTGGCCACAGACAGAGCTTTGATCGATGTT